AATTTGAACTTGACCTGGGCATTCCTTTTGACGCATCCATATTCAAGTTTGAGTTGCATGTGTTTACCGTTGGGGATATAATGAACGGAAACTAAAAATTCATATTATTTTCAAAGTAAAAGGGGCATAACTCTGCCAAAAATCATCGAACTATGACCCAATTCGAACTTGACATGTATTTTCTCATGACATATCCCATATGTCAAGTTTGAGTTGAATGTGTTGTACCCTTTGGGGAGGTAATGAACGGAAACTAAAAATTTCATATTATTTTCAAAGTTAAAAGGGGCATAACTCTGCCAAAAAAATCATCGAACCATGACCAAATTCGAACTTGACCTGTATTTTCTCATGACATATCCATATGTCAAGTTTAAGTTGAATGTGTTGTACCGTTGAGGAGGTAATGAACAGAAACTGAAATTTCATATTATTTTCAAAGTAAAAGGGGCATTACTCTGCCAAAAATCATCGAACCATGACCAAGTTCGAACTTGACCTGTATTTTCTCATGACATATCCATATGTCAAATTTGAGTTGAATGTGTGCAACCGTTCTTAAGATAATGAACGGAAACTGATGATGACGGAATGACAGAATGACGGAAGGACGGAATGACGGAACAGGTAACACTATATGCCCCGGCCATTACATGGCGGGGGCATACAAAAAATTCTAGATGTGCACCACTTAATTACATAATTACACTGATAGCTTAATATACAATTTTTATGCTTTTGATGCTGAATATAGATAGTAATCAAGTTGAGTAATCAAGAAACATATGTGTTTGAGTAATCACATACATAAAATACCCTAAATTTGATGGAATTGAGGGTATATTTAGTATACAAATGTATTTACCTTTTGAAAAAAGATTGTTTGGTCCAGTAGCAATCCCTCCAATATGATTATGAAAATATATGTTATTTGTGATAACATGCAGTAACCCAGTACAATCGGTGTCGACTGCTGATGTCTTGTCCTTGTACCCAGGAGCATTTATAAAACATTTGCTAATGCTCCACGGGTCTGTCTACCAATTTCGAGCATCACTGTTTTTCCAGTCTGGCACAGGTGGCGTAGAGGCATGATGCTGCACAATATAGTCATAGATGGCGCCACATATGTTGTTCGGACAAGCAATTTTTCCCTTAAAGCAACAGCTGCATTTTACTTGCCCAAGAGGACAGACTTTGTTTCCAGCATTCCCAGGTACTGGCTTATGGTCTGGCTTGAGAGTTTCAACTTGACATCCCCCACATGTCACAGTTGATGGTAGTGATTTTGTAGACCGAATGTTTTGTAAGATATCCTTATGTTGTTGGTCAGCTATATCATTTACAGAATGGTGCCAGTCCCTCCTTTTAAATATCCAAGTCCTAAACCAGCCTTTACCCACTGTCTGTATTTTTCCTTCTCTAACTGAAGTTGATGTGCCATCCTGATACTCTATCAATATCTAAACAAATCAAACAAAAAGATTATGTTAAATTTTATATAAATAAGTAATTATGGTCTTGGATTGCAATTCAAAGTCAAAAATACTGGGTAAAATGATATGATGAGCCGTGCCATGACAAAACCAACATAATGGGTTGCGACCAGCATGGATCCAGACCACCCTGCGCATCCGCGCAGTCTGATCAGGATCCATGCTGTTCGCTTACCAACCATATTACAAGAAGAGAAACTGATAGCGAACAGCATGGATCCTAATAAGATTGCACGGATGCGCAGGCTGGTCTGGATCTATGCTGGTCGCAAACGCACTATGTTGGTTTTGTCGTGACGCGGCTCATATGTGTTCCAAAAAAGACAAAAAAACAAGAAACATGGCAATGCCACGAAACCAGGTTTTCAATTATCTCCATTGTAGATAACTATGTTGTATTTGTAATACAAATGCAAGCAATAAACAATGTAACTATGTGCAATGTAAAACATGAATAATGTAGGAGGAATTGCCACAGAACAAGTGTTCACTGTATATTCTGTATAAGGAAAAATGTATTATGTATAAGGAAAAAAAACAAAAGGGCCATAATTAGGTCAAAAATTATCCAATCACAAAACCTCTACAATATGCGCCAGGGCACATGATGACAAAGCTTTTGTGAAAGTTTGAACAAAAATCCGTTGAGAAATGTAGGACTAGTTCAGCACAGAAGAATTTGTTCACTATATATTGATTAATTCTGTATAAAGGAAAAAAAAAAAACAAAGGGCATAATTAGGTCAAATATTAATCGAATCACAAAACCCTGACAATATGCGCCAGGGCACTTGATAACAAAGCTTCTGTGAAAGTTTGAACAAAATCTGTTGAGAAATGTAGGACTAGTTCAGCACAGAAGAATTTGTTCACTATATATTCTGTTATAGGAAAAAAAACAAAGGGCCATTATTACATCAAATATTATCCAATCACAAAACTCCGACAATATATGCCAGGGCACTTGATAACAAAGCTTCTGTGAAAGTTTGGTCAAAATCTGTTGAGAAATGTAGGAGGAGTTGCGCACAGAAGAAATTGTTCACTATATACTCTTATAAGGAAAAAAAAAACAAAGGGCCATAATTTAGGTCAAATATTATCCAATGGTAAAACCCGGACAATATGTGCCAGGGCACTTGATGACAAACTTCTGTAAAAAGTTTGGTCAAAAATCCGTAGAAAAATATAGGAGGAGTTGCGCACAGAAGAAATTGTTCACTATATATTCTATATAAGAAAAAAAGAACAAAGGGCCATAATTAGGTCAAATATTATCCAATCGCAAAACCCCGACAATATGCGCCAGGGCACTTGATGACAAAGCTTCTCTGAAAGTTTGGTCAAAATCCGTTGAGAAATGATGGAGGAGTTGCGCACAGAAGAAATTGTTCACTATATATCTATATAAGAAAAAACAACAAAGGGCCATAATTAGGTCAAATATTATCCAATTGCAAAACCCCGACAATATGCGCCAGGGCACTTGATGACAAAGCTTCTGTGAAAGTTTGGTCAAAAATCCGTTGAGAAATGTAGGAGGAATTGCGCACAGAAGAAATTGTTAACGCCCGCCCGCCCGCCAATCCGCCCGCCGACATACCTCAATCTAATAACCAGTTTTCGCCTTCGGAAAACCTGGTTAAATAGTGTAGTCATCGATCAGGATTATAGATAAATAAACTATGAAAACTGAACAATTTGTTTATTTCTTTTATCATATAAAGTTGTTCTATGAAAGACAACTAATGACTAGTAACTATAAAGTTTAAAGCATTTTCCATTCTAATTTTAGTGTTGTTGTTGCAATTATGAGGTTACGGATTAGGTTAAATCCCGTCCTTGCCGTTCAAAATATACTGGGGTTTAATAAGCAAATTATAGTGTTTACAACCTGAATAATTATTATAGTTTTACATTTTATAATCATAATTTAATTCATAGAAAGAAACACTGACACAAATTTTCTTGGCGCTTTCCCTTTTTAAAATCTGAATTGAGGGGTCTTAACACCCACTTAGCAGACATGCGAGATTACAACGAAATTCGGCAGTATTTGTTAGAGACACAGGGAGGTAATTTGGTGTGATTTTCATTTTCATTTTGGAAAAAAAATGTTTGAAAACATTTGGCATCACAGGCGCTTGTCACTTTATCAAATATGTTACATAATCGGCCTATATTATATATATGTATATTAAGATTATAGTATATACTTAGTATATAGCCCATTATAGAACATAAAAAAGTTTGCTTCAAGCACCTGTGATTGGCATTCAATACCCGATAATTAAAAACAAGAACCGGTTGAACCGGGTGATGCTCCCCGAGAAGGTTCTAGACACAGGAAAGTATAAAAAAATGAACAAAGGGCAAAAACTCCAAAATTAGGCAAGGAGGAGTTATGTTTTTTGCAGTGCACTTCTATTCAATGAGATCTATTATCTGTAAAGTTTCCTGATGATATCAGAGTTATGTCCCTGGTAAATTATTCAAAGTGTAAAAATGAACAAAAGGGCAATAACTCCAAAATTAGACCAGGCTTTGTTTAGGTTCTTTAAGCATTGCAGTTCTATCCAATTATATCTAGCTACCTACAAAGTTTCATGTTGATATCTCTAATAGTTTTAAAGTTATGTCCCGGACAAAAGTCAAAAAGTAAAAAATAAACAAAGGGCAATTACTTCAAAATAAGGCAAGGCAGAGTAATGATTCTTAAGCACTGCATTTCCATCCAATGAGACCTATCTATCTACAAAGTTTCATGTTCAGATATCTCTTATAATTTTAGAGTAATGTCCCGGACAAAGTTCAAAGTGTCAAAATGAACAAAGGGCAATAACTCCAAAAGTAGGCAAGACAGTGTTACAGTTCTTGTGCACTGCAAACCTACTTAATGAGATCTATCTACCTACAAAGTTTTCATGTTGATACCTCTTATAGTTTAAGAGTTATGTCCTGGACAAAGTTCAAAGTGTGAACATAAACAAAGGGGATAATTAAAAACTTAGGCAAGGCAAGGTTATGGTTCTTGTGCACTGCACACCTACTCAATGAGATCTTTCTACCTACAAAATTTCATGTTGATACTACTTATAGTTTTAGAGTTATGTCCCAGACAAAGTTCAAAGTGTAAAATAAACAAAGGGGGATAATTCAAAAATTAGGCAAGGCAGAGCTACGGTTCTTGTGCACTGCACACCTACTCAATGAGATCTATCTACCTACAAAGTTTCATGTTGATACCTCTTATACATTTAGAGTTATGTCCCGGACAAAGTTCAAAGTGTAAAAATAAACAAAGGGGCATAATTAAAAAATAAGGCAAGGCAGAGTTACGGTTCTTGTGCACTGCACACTTACTCAATGAGATCTATCTACCTACAAAGTTTCATGTTGATACCTCTTGTTGTTTCAAAGTTATGTTCCCGGACAAGAAAAGGGGACGGACGGACGGACGGACAAGGTGGCGACTATATGCTCCCCCGAAATTTTTTCGGGGAGCATAAAAATGAAATCAATTGTAAACGTGTGACCATATAAATGATTTACCAATATTCATTAATTGAACAAACATTATTTTTTATCCAGTTTCCACTCCTCCATTTGATATGTTCTATAATAAGTTATTTCCGCGCACATGCAGTACATGAAACTGTGTGACACACAGAAAATACCTTCCCTGGTATGTGGTTATTTATGTAAGTACTTTTTTATTTATGAACCAAATTAAACGATACATTGAATATAAAATCATTTTATTATTATAAAACACCGTATCAAGAAAAGTTAATAAAAAAATAATAATCAATTTATAAAATATAAGTCATATTTAGTATCTTCTGTCCGCTACGGATATGACTTTTATAGAACGTAATTCCAATATAACTTATATAACTTTTTTTATTTAATTTTTTATGGACCAAATTTAACAATATTTTGCATGTAAAATCATTTTATTATTATAAAACTTTGTATCAAGAAAATATAATAAAAAAAAAAAAACTTTGTAAAATATAAGTCATATTTATAAAGTCATATCTGAGGATATGAGTCTTCTCCGGTATTAAGACATACCGCATATTACCTGGCATTCCGCGACATTTGGAAACGGTTGATTCAGTACATGGGTTAACGTGAAGGACAGAAGATACCGAATATGACTTATATAGTTCATAAAGTTTTTTCTTCATATGATATTTTATAATAATAAAATGAAATTACATGCCAAAAAATGGTTAAATTTGATACTGTAATAAAAATGTTACATGTTATATTTGTTGCATGTTCTAATTTAAATAAAAGTCATATCCGTAGAAGAAAGTAGATACCGAATATGACTTTTTAAGTTACATATATTGCACGCTTTGTATAAAAGTCATATCCATGGCGGATTGAAGAAACTGAATATGACTTGTTGTTTTCAAACTTGTTTCTTTTATTTTTTTATTTACTTTTTGGTATTTTTTTTCATATAATTAATAAAGTTAAAATAATAATACATGCAAAAAATCCTTAAATTATGCCCGTAAATGAAAAAGTAACAAGATATATTCGTTGCATGTTCTAAAAGTCATATCCTTGGCAGAACTTATATACGTTGCATATTCTAAAGAAAGGATTGAAGATACCAAATATGACTTATATTTTATAAAGTTTCTGATTGTTTTTCTTGATACAACTTTATTTAAAATATAAGTCATATCCGGTATTAAAAGTCATATCTGCAGATATGAGTCATATCCGGTATTAAGTCATACCTTGTTATATGTTGTTTTTTTTTTCGTTTTTTTCCTAATATCGTTCTTTTTATCACAAAATAAACAAAATAAAATACATTTTGACAAAAAATGCCCTGCTGGCCTAATATTTGAATCAAGTTGTTATTATATGTGTTTATTAAGAGGGCTATATTTCCCGTTATTTTCTATTATTTGCTTAAATTTTTCAATAAAATGTATACGATA